TCCACCAGAAAACTTGTACAACTAATAAATGAATTAAGCAAAGTAGCAAGGATATAAAATCAATACCCACAATACAAATGCATTTCTATAGAAAACAATGAATTTATTGACAGAGAAATTAGGAATACTACCCATTCAAAATAGCCTCTAAGAAGATAAAATACTTGGGAATCAATCTAACAAAAAGAGGTGAAAGGCCTGTACAATGAAACTACAGGATGCTAAAGAAGGAAATTGAAAAAGACTTTAGAAGGTGGAAAGATCTCCCATGCTCTTGGATAGGAAGAATTACTATTGTCAAAATGGCCACACTACCAAAACTGTTATACAGGTTTAATGCAATTCCTATTAAAATCCCAATGACATAGAGCTGAAAAAGCAATCATAAAATTTATTTGGAAAAATAGGAGACCCAGAGTAGCCAAAGCAATCTTTAGCAAGAAAAGTGACACAGACCTTATACTATGCTACAGAGCCACAGTAACAAAAACAGCATAGTACTAGTACCAAAATAGACATGTAGACCAATGGTACAGAATAGAAGACACAGAGATAAACCCATATAAATGCAGTTATCTCATACTAGTCAAAAGCACAAAAACATTCATTGGAGAAAAGATAGTGTCTTCAACAAATGATGCTTTGAAAACTGGAAATCCATATGTAGCAAAATGAATTTAAACCTCTATATCTCGCCATGTACAAAAACCAACTCAAAATGGATCAGTGACAAGGAATTAGACCAGAGACCCACACCTAATAGAAGAAAAAGTAGGCCCAAATATTCATTATATTGGATTAGGCCCAAGACTCCTAAAACACAAGAAATAAAATTAAGAATAAATGGGATAGATTCAAACTAAAAAAAAAAGATATGAAGACAGAGCCTACAGAGTGGGAGAATATGTTTATCAGATGCACATCAGATAGAACACTAATCTCCAGGATATAATAAAAATAAAAAAACTCAAAAAAATTTAATGCCAAAATAAAATACCAAAAAAACACAAATAGCCCAGTCAATAAATGGGCTAAGGAACTGAACAGACATTTCTCAGAAGAAATTACCCAAATGATCATCGTATATATGAAAAAAATTTTCAAATCTTTAGTAATTAGAAAAATGCAAATTAGAACTACTCTAAGATTTCATCTAACTCCAGTCAGAATGGCAGTTATCAAGAATACAAGCAATATTAAGTTTTGGCGAGAATGAGGGGAAAAGGGTGCACTCAGACACTGCAAATTGGTGCAACTTTGGAAAGTACTGTGGAGATTTCTCAGAAATTTTGGAATGGAACAACCATTTGACCCAGTTTTTCCACTCATCGGTCTATACCAAAGGACAAGTCAGCATACTATAGTGACACAGCCACACCAATGTTTATAGCACCTGAATTCACAATAGCTTAACTGTGGAACCAACATAGATGCCCATCAATACATGAATGGGTGAAGAAACTGAGTGTGTGTGTGTGTGTGTGTGTATATACACACACACATACATACATACATACACATACACACAATGAAATGTTACTCAGCATTAAGAGAGAATAAAATTATGGCATTTGCAAGTAAATGGATGGAGTTGGAGAATATCTTGATAAGTGTAGTAAGCCAATCCCCCCAAAATTAAAGGCTGAATGTTTTCTGATTAGTGGATGCTTATCCATAATGGACGTGGGGAGTATGGAAAGAATGGAGGATTTTTGGATCGAGCAAAGGGGATGGTGGGGAGGAGGGAGTCACGATGTAGAAAAGATGAGAATGAGACAGTCATCATTACCCCAGTTACATGTATGGTTGTACAAATGTTGCAACTTTGCATTGTGTACAACCAGAGAATTGAAATGTTGTGCTTCAGTTGAATTGAAATGCATTCTACTGTCATTTACAACTAAGTAGAACAAATAAAACATTAAAAATAACAATAAAAAAGGCTAAGGATGTTGCTAGTGGTAAATCTGTAAATAGTCCCTGGATTCAGTCTCTAATTCAAGATGAAATTTCACTGAATGTGAATACTTTTACTCATTAAGTAGTGGTTCCTTTCTCTTTTAAAACTGAATGAATAAAATTGGGAAGCAGGAAAGTCACAGCTTAGTGATTTCTAGTTAAATTTATCTTGAGCCTATAAAAGAAGTTCCTTGGGAGCCTTGTGTTTTGTTTTCTGAGGCACGTATTTTCCATATAAGGCATTGAATTGTAGCAGTCGGTCATGAGAAGGAAGCCTAGAGAAAGAGGAGAAAGATGTTGTTTTCCAGGTGTGTGGCTCAAGCCAGGGGCAGCATTGTATTTTTCCCCAAAGTACCTCATATTTGGAATGTGCACACCTTTACTTCTATACCGTTCAGGTTTGTGCTTAACTTGTTTTAGCTATTTTGTTTCCTTTTCTTCTTACAATACCAACACTAACTCTTTAAAACATATATGCCCATATATACTCCCTATATTGGGAACCTTTTTCTTACTCTTTCATCCAAGCCATGCCATGCTTACATGACATGCAGGATTGAACAATTAAAAAAACCCTTTTTGATAAATGAACATCAGAAAATCTTGCTATTCTAGATTTCCATTGGGGATGTTTTTGTGTCTTTAGATGTTGCCAAAGAAGTGAACTGTGCTTTGTTTTCTTTCCGTCTGGATGCTCTGTCATGTATAAATACAAAAGAGTCAATTAAATGCACATTGGTTGCATCTAGAAACTTACTAAGTTCTAAAAGTATAGAATGATTTGAAGAGACCCAAACTCTAGAATGCCAAGGAAAGTCTAATAAAGTTCCATATTATACCATTTTGCTTTGATTTGTCCACTGATATCACAGCAATGATGATGTGTTCTTTTATGTTGACTTACACTTTGTACCATTTGTTATATTACAGCTGTTTTAACCTTATTTGCTTGGTGTAAATGCTGTTTGCAGGATTTTCCCTATAAAGTTAAATTTTTTTTTTCATTATTTTAAGGAATCTTGATAGGATTTTTCTAAACAGTCTACATAAACTTTTATCTTTGATACAGAACCAGTTTTTTTCTTAGTACTTTTCATTTGTGTCTTGCTTTGGTGAACGTAGCCTCTGGCTTTTGATTACCAGGGTTACTGGCTTTGTTACTGAAAGTTCTGAAGCAGACCACAGTCCTATAGGCTTTCATTTTATTCTGCCTTCAGCTTACAGACATACCTCCTTGCATTTTCAATGAAGAAACAAGTGCCTGAAAATTATAAAGTGTACCTCAAGATGAATTTGAATAACAGGGAGAAAATAAGGAGTATAAAAGACCCAGTAACTGTGGCTCTTATTTTATTCTCTATTGTTAAAAGTGTGTATCTCAATAGTGTCTTTTAAAAGAGCATCCTCTCAAATTGATTTGTTTTACCAAATGGAAGATATGACTTATTCTTATTTGCATGAAAAATTGTCTGTTGTTTCCATGTATAAAGTTAACATTTTTATGTGTGCATATATAGTCTGCTCCTATGTGTGCTATGTGGCGTATATAGTCTGCTGCAACCAGCACTGCAGATGGATGGGTAACCAACACAGGTGGTGAGCCAGACTGGAAAATTAATTAGAAAATACAGAAATGAGAAAAAATTTATTTACTAAAAGCAGGGGCATGGCAAAATGATTCAGCTGTGATGGAGATTTGATCTAACAAAAGATGGAGTCCAAGCAGTAGTTTATATGGATAGGTGCACCAAAGGAATTCAGTGAGATGAACTTCTTCAGGAACATGGGATGAAGATTGCAAAAACAAATTTTTTGGGGCTTAGCAGATTACGCCCACCTCCTCTCTACCTTTGGGTGGCTGTGTTTAAATCTAGGGCTGTCCAAGCCAAGGCAGGGTGTGCATAGGTGGAATTTCACCTCCTGATTTCCAAAAAGCAAACTCCTTGCCTTGTGATGGCTCAAACAAACCCATAATTTATACATGTCTTCCAACATGTATAAGTTAAATATCATTTCATCAATCTGCTTTTGTTTCTTCTTAACATGTTTCCATTAGTCTTCTCATTTATAATCACTACCCTGCTCTGAAATTTTTCTAAAAATTCACACTTTAAATTGACTTTTTAATGAATTTGTTTTAGTTGTTAATGGATCTGTATTTTATTTATTTATATGTGTTGCTGAGAATCAAACCCAGTGCCTCACACATGCTAGGCAAGCGCACTACACTGAGCCACAATTCCAGACCTTAAATTGACTTTAATGCTCTCCTTTTTTTCTGAATTACAGGTCAAATAAACTTGGGTAAAAATTAGGTCTTTCACTGGGTGTTTGACAAAATGTCATAAAAATGAATATCATTACTGCTATCACATTCTTTTGGGTTTCTGAAAAAAGACATGAAAAGTACATAAATCCTTTGAAATATTTGAACTCCAGTTCATCAAGGTTTTTTTTTTTTTTCCCTACACTGGTTTACTTCATTGTTATGCAGGAGTTTTTCTTGGCCCACTGGCACTAGGATCACCAGGTTGGAATTACTGCTACATATTCAGAAAACCAGGTCTCATCCCAGAATTACTGGACAAGAGTCTGCATTTTAATAAATCTCTGATTCATGGTTTTGATTTAAAATTTGAGAATCATCTTTTTTACTCACTATAACTTTTTTGTCTTAGAAATAGAAAAATTGTTTTATGATATTAGAGTCGCAATTAAAGTATATATTTCTGTATTGATGCCTTAATTTTACATTCTACTTCATAAAGGTGACATATAAATATATATGTGTGTGTGTATGTGTGTGTACACATATATATGTGTGTGTGTGTGTGTGTGTGTGTATGACTCAACACTCTTTCTTCAGAATTATAGAGTAGAGAATATCACTGTTACAAAGTATTTTCTTGAATAATTAAAATTTACTCACCTACTTGAAAGCCACTTCTACTAACTCTGATTTTTATCTTCTTTCAACTTAAAAGCTCCCTGTTAATAATATTTTGGTCAATGTTCTATCAATTTACCTATTTTTATTTCAGGAATCATTGGCATTCAGGGACGTGGCCATTGATTTCTCTGAAGAGGAATGGAAATGCCTGGAGCCTGCTCAGCAGAATTTATACAGAGATGTAATGTTAGAGACCTACAGAAACCTGATCTTCCTGGGTGAGCAGCGCTTCCCTTCAGAATTCATCATTAATCAGAATTTTTAATTCCTTCCCATGCAGAATATCTTTGGGGAGCTTCTGCTCTTCTTGAATGAGTTTCAGATTTTTGCTTTCAAGTAAAAGGATTGGGCAGGGTTTTTTTCCAGAGAAGAAAATATTACTTTCATTACTTTTAGTCCTTAATGTCTCCCTTTCTTCAGGTGTTATATACCCTTTTCTTTAGATTGGTAGTACTCACAGTAATTTTGTGATACCAAATGATGTGACCTACACATTAAAGTCCAATTTCTTTTCTTTAGAGTACAAGAATGGAGGCATCAGTAGTCACAGGAAGAATCCCAAAAATAGTCATTTTATTTTTCAATAAACACATCTTATTGTCTCTAAACCATATTTGCACACCTTGCTCTGGAGCAAAGGAGAGAGCCCTGAGCCATGTTCCCAGGTAGATAGAAATTCATGAATCAGAGGACACAGTTGAGAGTTCCAGAAAGTTCAAGGAGGAAGCCAAACTTCCAAATGTTGGTGGAGAAGTTATCATTTTCAATTGCTAGTGTTTTGTTTTGTTTCTTTGGTTAAGCCAAGTATCTCTTTTGTACTATAGTATTTTTTTTTTTTTTTTTTTTTTTTTTTTTTTTTTTTTAAAGAGAGAGGAGAGAGAGAGAATTTTTTTTTAATGTTTATTTTTTAGTTATTGGCGGACATAACATCTTTGTATGTGGTGCTGAGGATCGAACCCGGGCCGCACGCATGCCAGGCGAGCGCGCTACCGCTTGAGCCACATCCCCAGCCCTGTACTATAGTATTTTTGATTTGTCCATATAAAAAACAGCCAATGGTAGACTATTAATCATTTTGGAAAAAAACATGGAAGTTATTAATGAATTCAAAAAGAGGTAAGCACACTGATACATGCTTGTAATCTTAGATAATGGAGAGGATTTGCAAGTGGATTTTGTTTAATGCCTGTTATGGCAAATTTTTAACACTATGTCTCAAACAATTTTAAAAGGGCTTGTGTTGTAGCTCAGTGGTACAGTACCCTTGGGATTAATCCTAAGCACCACACATAAAAAAATTAAAAGTAGAATAACCCCAAGATCTGGAAATGCAAACTATAAATAGGTATCCAGAGGGGATTAAATCAGCATGTTGAAGACATATCTCAAGTACCATGCTCAGTGCAATATGTGTCCATCTTTTGTTTAATAAATAAAAAATGTTTTTAATACACCATTAATTAACAGTAAAAAGGAGATATTTTGTCACTAAAAGTAACATGGGATGATATGCAGTACTTTGCATTATGTGAAATAAGGCAGACACAAAACATAATTTTGTGTCTGTAATTTGATTCACATGTAGAAATCAGAACTGCAGAGAGTAAAATGGCTACTAGGTACTGTGTTTTGTGAAGTGTTGGTCAATGTCTGCAAAGTATTATTGTAAGGGATATAAAAAGGTCAAGAGTTCTATTATACCCATGGTGAGTATAATGTACTATATTGTTTTCTGTGGAAGGAGCAAACCAAAGATTGAAAACAGAAGTACGTAACAACTGAGCAATATGCCCAACCCTTTTTTAAATTTTTTAAATTTTGATACAGGATCTCAGTAAGTCACTTATGGCATTGCTAAGTTGCTGAATGTGGCTTTGAACTTGAGATCCTCTTTCCTCTGCCTCCCAAGTATTGGGGATTACAGGCCTGTACCACCACATCAGCTAATATACTCTATTCTTGATGAATGCTAATAGAATGAATACAATTTTTTTAAGCACTAAAATGATAATTACATTAAAACAGTGTACTTGTTAATTAGGTATATTTAGTCATTTCATCATTTATTTATATTTTACATTTTATTTATATTTTAAAATATACTTAGCAAATGAAATTTAATTTGTCAATGAAACAAATCAGTAAATAATTCAAAATTATAAAAATTTAAAACCAAGTTATTTGTCTTGATTGTTATTTAGTGATTTTATTCATGTAATATTGATATTAGCTGTGTGTGTGTGTGTTTATTTTTCTCATTAAAAAGATTTATCCCTATTTCTCATTAGAGACCATAAGCCCTTAAACCCTGTTGAATATCTGTATTATTGTCATCCGAAATCTATCTATTATACTCAAGTCTGTTTCCTGATAGACAGGAAGTAATTTTCAGACAGTTCTCCTCAAAGCCGGAAATGTTCCCATTATACATTTTCTATTAGGTAGAATTGAGGTTGATTTGTGCACAGTGCTATATTGTGGAGGAGGAAGGCCTGGTGGATAAAAGTAACACACTTTCCTTTCCTCTGCTCTACTGCCTCGTTAATAATATATTCATTATAGATATTGTGAATACTTTGTTTGGGTAATTCTCAGAAAGAAAATTTGTCTGTCTATTGTTATTTAGTTTATATATTTATGGAGGCTAGTTGGCCTATGATATACTGTTCTGCTACCCTGCTGGTGTCCTGACTACCTATAATTTCATGTTGTATTTGTTAAGTATATTCCCAGTCTAATATGTAAAATAATTCCTATTTTTATTCTTTCAGCCATGAACTCTCATTATACCCAGAAAATTTCACCTGAGTCTTGCATAAAACTTTTTTTAAAAAAAGTGATAAAGAGAAGATATAGAAATTGTGACCTTGACTATTTACAACAAAAGAAAGTACAGGACAGTGTAGGTGAGAATGAAGATTGGAAATCCTATTATAAAGGACAAGACAAATCAGTAGTGCATGTCCATAATGAAAATTTTACTGTCAGCAGACCTGAAGAGCATTTAATACCTCAGAAAAGTATTCCATATATAACTGAAGGACAAATTTCTAAAAATGATCATTTAGAAAGTTTCTTTAAAAACTGTCCATTGTTCAGCAATGAACAAAAAATTCCTTCTTGTGCCCATACACACACTTTTAATTGTTGTGGGAAGGCCCCTGTGTACTCATTACTACTTAATCAAAATTCAGATACAGAGTTCTGGAAAGTATGGAACACACATAATGAAACAAGCAACACCTCTAACCAGGTTTCTACTCTTACCAAACACCAGAGAATTCATACCAGAAAGCATCCCTACAAATGTGAAGAATGTGGCAAAGGTTTTAATAAAAGTTCACAGCTTAATCAACACCATACAATTCATACTGGAGAGGAGCTCTACAAATGTAAAGAATGTGGCAAAGGTTTTACTCAGAAAGGAAGTCTTACTCAACACCAGCGAGTTCATACAGGAGAGAAGCCCTACAAATGTGAAGAATGTGGGAAAGCTTTTACTCAGAGAGGAAGCCTTACTCAACACCAGAGGATTCATACTGGAGAGAAGCCCTACAAATGTGATGTATGTGGCAAATGTTTTACTAAAAGAAGTTATCTTACTCATCACCACAGGATTCATACTGGAGAGAAGCCCTACAAATGTAATGAGTGTGGCAAAGCTTTTAATAAAAGAGATCAACTTACAATGCACCATAGAATTCATAGTGGAGAGAGACCCTACAGTTGTGAAACATGTGGCAAAGGTTTTACTCAAAGATCATGCCTTAATCAACACCAGAGAATTCATAGGAGAGAGAAGCCCTACAATTGTGAAACATGTGGAAAAGGTTTTGCTCAAAGATGTTACCTTGCTCAACACCAGAAAATTCACAGTATAGAGAAGCTCTACAAATGTAATGAATGTGGGAAAGGCTTTACTCATAAAGGAAGCTTTACTGAACACCAGCGAATTCATACAGGAGAGAAGCCCTTCAAATGTGAAGAATGTGGGAAAGGTTTTACTCATAGAGGAAGCCTTCCTCAACACCAGAGAATTCATACTGGAATAAAGCCCTACAAATGTGATGTATGTGGCAAATGTTTTACTAAAAGAAATTACCTTCCTCAACACCAGAGGATTCATACTGGAGAGAAGTCCTACCAATGTAATGAGTGTGGCAAAGCTTTTAATAAAAGAGATCAACTTACAGTACACCATAGAATTCATAGTGGAGAGAAGCCCTACAGTTGTGAAACATGTGGCAAAGGTTTTATTCAAAGAGCAAAGCTTATTCTACACCAGAGAGTTCACAGTAGAGAGGAGCTCTACAAATGTAATGAATGTGGGAAAGGCTTTAATCTAAGAGCATGGCTTACTCAACACCAGAAAATTCATACTGAGCCCTACAAATGTGATGTATGTGGCAAATGCTTTACTCATAGATATTATCTTGCTCAACACCAGAGGATGCATACTGGAGAGAAGCCCTACAAATGTGAAGAATGTGGGAAATGTTTTATTATGAGAGCACACCTTACTCAACACCAGATAATTCATAGTGGAGAGAAGCCCTACAAATGTGAAGAATGTGGGAAATGTTTTACTATGAGAGCACACCTTACTCAACACCAGATAATTCATAGTGGAGAGAAACCCTACAAATGTGAAGAATGTGGCAAAGGTTACTCTCACAGACAGTACATTATTCGACACCAGAAAATTCATAGTGGAGAGAAGCCCTATGAATGTGAAGAATGTGGGAAATGTTTTACTATGAGAGCACACCTTACTCAACACCAGATAATTCATACTGGAAAGAAGCCCTACAATTGTGAAGCAAGTGGCAAAGGTTTTACTCAAAGAGCATGCCTTCTTCAACACCAGGGAATTCATACTTGAAAGTATTGCTACAAATGTGAAGAATGTGGCAAAGCTTTTAATCAAAAACCACACTGTACTCAATACCAGAGAATTCATAACTGGGAGAGGTAATACAAATGTACATTCTGTTGCAGACCTTTTAGCAATTGATCAAACATTACTAATCACTGGAGAATTCATAGTGCATAAAACCCCTAAACAATGTGAATACTGTGCCCAAGTCTTTACTCAAATTTCAAATTTAACATTAGAAACCAGATACCTATAGGGAAGGTAGAAAGACATCTCCCTGAAATACATGCCTTAAATAATAGCAAAATATCTATAAGGAAGAAATCATGCTAGAAATATAAAAAACATAGGAAAGCCCTCTTCTGTATTCCATTTTATTAAGTATGTAAGAAATGAGGAATTGCCTTTAACTTTTGCTTAAAGTTTATTAAAATCCTTAGCTGATGTGGCCAACAAAGAAATTCTCATAAATATCATAGAATTGTGTAGAAAACTTGTCTCTGGACAGATAGGAATTTATTAAAAATCAAAGAATACTCAGTACCTCACTTTTGAAAACTGGAGAAAAAAATAGTTCTAACATAGATCATTTCATGAGAAGAAAACCTGTTCCTGAGAGTTGTTAATCTATATTTTTGAGAGTTTGTGGTGTATTTGAAATACCTGATTAATATTTTATATACAATATGTTAATGTGTTAACAGTGTTATGTGTTGAATCATGATACTATCTCACTGGTATCACAGTGTCTCTTTACTAAGGGTTCTACATAGCAGATAGTAAAAACATAGTAAAATACCACCATTAACTTTTTAGAAACATCAACTCACTTAGAAAATAGTGTTCCCATAAATCAGACCTTTATCCACCTCTTTATCATTAAGGAGACATTAAAACAATTATAGATAACATATAAGTACATGAAAATAAACACCAGATTTTACTATATTGAATTAGTACTTTAAAATTTTACTGTGTAAGTTCTGGACATGGTGGTACATTACTTTAATTCTAACAACTTAAGAGGCAGAGGCAGGAGGATCCCAAGTTCAAAGTCAGCCTCCACAAATTAATGAGGCCCCACACAATTTAGACCCTGTCTCAAGATAAAAAGCACTGGGGATGTGGTCCAGTGTTTAAGCACTCCTGAATTCAATCCCTTGTACTCCCCCGTCCATTTTTTTTCCCCTATAGAATGACTTTACTCCTAAGGGCCTTGCAATTTGAGAGAGCAACACAACTTCTCAATTTCTCAACACAGGGATTTTGACTACCTTCGAAACCAAGAGCCACCAGTGCATATTTTGTGAAAAGGAGGGTCATTGCAGAGAGATTCCCAATAGTTACCCAGGAAGCAACATGTTCAGCTGAACACTGACCCATTCTGGCTCCTGGCATGTCTGATAGAAAACAACAAAAAACTGAAGAATCCAAGCATTTCCTTATGAAGCCCCTAGATAATTACCCACTGAGGAGACTTGAGTCATGTCAAAAAATTTTAAAAAATATTTTTGCCCAATATCAAATGCCTATTTGGTTTTGGACAACCAGTAGAAAATTTAACCAGAAACAAGTGTTCAATTATGAGGATAAAAAAAGAGCTATACTCATGGAGCATTTAAACCTTCAAAATAATTTATGATATATCTTTTGACTTTAGCTATCTTTTATTCTACTCTATAATTTACAATGGTTATTATACTTTTGGGATCAGAGGAATTATAGTAAATGGCACAGGCTCCCCAAACTTATTTAGCACATAGTCTTTCTGAGATATTCCAAATCATATCTGTCATAAATTTTCCCTGTTTAACAGGACCGGAGCACATGCCACCACATATAGAAAGACAAAGTCCCTATTCAGATGAGCCACTGCAGGTTCTATACAAGTCCCGATTAAAAGCTAAACACAAAAATGGGGAAAAAAATTGTTGTATTACTCTTTGGGTCAGTGGAACACCCACAAAAATTTGTCTTATTTAAATTAATTGGGATTATAAGTACTTCAAGGGAATGATAAATTTTATGCATAAGGAACAGAAGCAGTATGTGTGAGAGAGATCTTGGTTTTCATATTCTGCCACAAGTCACCACCCATTCTTCATACCAGGTTTATGGCTGTATCTTTTCTGCTTGTCTACACCCTATTTCATCTCACATAAAAGACTGCTTTGGTTCTGACAAGTCATTTAAAGGGTTCCTAAGGCAAGTTAAACTGAAATTGGGAGTGACTTGGGAGATACTGAATTTTTAAAAAAGTATTTATAGATGTAGTTGGACACAACGCCTTTGTTTTATTTATTTATTGTTATGTGGTGGTAAGGTTTGAACCCAGTGCCTCACTGGGCAAGCACTCTACCACTGATCTACAAACTCAGCCCATTTTACTGCATTTTAAAATAATTTTCAATTTACAGGTAAGAAATGTAACAGGTTCAAGGGAAGTTTCAATACATGTATTATTATATAATACAATTAGTAATTCACAAAACTTTTCCCTCAAATATTTTGCATCATTATGGGGAAAACATTGAGTATTTCTTCTCATCTTTGAATGCACTACACATTAATATAGTCACCCAACTGTGCAATTGGACCATACAAACCCAGAACTTATTTTTTCTGTGAAATTGTTTATGAACCCATCTTTTGTTTTCAACCCATAACCAGAGTGGGACCCATGAATCAAGTTCATACATTTTATACAAAAGATCAGTCACTGCAGATGGCTTCCTCTTTCTTCCATTGGCATGTGTTCCTCTCCTAGGCACCATGGCATAAGTGCCCATTCATCAGCAAGTCACCACAGTACGGTTGACATGGGAAGTTCACATTCCTTTTTAAAAATTGAGATGCATGTGGTGTGTTTCATTTACTTGCCCCACTATAATTGTGTAGTATAACATGAGCCACTAACTTCCTAAAACACACACACTCACTAGCACATTATATTTACATCTCCCCTTAATTTTCCTTGTTTTCATGAAGGAGATTCAGTTTCCCAAATGAACCAGAAAATAACTGTTTCAATATGGTAAGTTTTGAGCCCAGTTATCTGTGAGAATCTTATAATCATTCACCTTGAATAGAAAAGGGAGACTGCTAAACAGGTGGGACAGGAGGTCAAGTGCAATAAGTGTGATTAACCTATCTCTATTTTACCTAGGGTGACAGAATATTAGTGGTAATTTTTAAGACCTATGTGTGAAACAGTATTACAATAAAAAGCACTTTATTTTTTACTATTGGGAATTGGATCCAGTGCTATTATACCACTGAGCAATATATTTACTCTTCAGGTTTTTTTTTCTTTTTCTTTCTTTTTTTTTTTTTTTTGAGAAAGAGTCTTGCTAAGTTGCTGAGGCTGGCCTCAGAATTGCACTTCTTCTGTCTCAGCCTCCTGAGTCACTGGATGTGTCACTGTGCCTTAAAAAACAAACAAACAAAAAAACTACCCACACAGACCTTAAATCTTCAGGAAAAGTTTTTTTTTTTTTTTTTAAGTACACCTGAATGACCACAAACCCAATGAATTTTAGAATATATCTAATACCCTTAACAACTACCTCATGTTTGCCTGTTGTCAAAATGAAATGGATTATAGTCAAAGTAAAACCATCAACTAAATATTTAAATGTTTCTTTGGGGGGGATTGAGTATTAAACCAAGATGTGCTTAACCGCAGAGCTGCATCTCCAGCTCATTCTTATGTTTTATTTTATTTAGACACAGTTTTGTTGAGTTGCTCAGGGACCTGGTAAGTTGCTGAGGCTTGTTTTGAATTCAGGATCCTTCTGCCTCAGCCTCCAGAGCCACTGGGACTGCAGGTGTGTGCCATTGTGCCCAGCTTAAATGATTTTAAGGGAGTTTTACATTAGCCTTACATAGCTCAGTAGGGAGAGCAGAGGACTTTAGGTGTTTGTGGAAATCTGCAGGTTGCTATCCCAAATGTCACTCCAATGTGAATGGTTCTATTCTCTAAGTGTGAAGTGTGAGCACTCTTATTTGAGCATATGCATGACTTGTACAGCATCCTGAGGCTGGATAAATGAATATGGATAGTGGTTTTCTCAGAGCCAATAAAAATACATGAAGCTGGACGTGGTGGTGCACGCCTGTAATCCCAGTGGGATGGGAGGCTGACAGGAGGATCACAAGTTCAAAGCCAGCCTCAGCAATGGCACAGCACTAAGCAACTCAGTGAGACCCTGTCTCTAAATAAAATACAGTTAACTGCAAGATAATCTCAGGGAATTTTGGAAGGAAAGTGGGAGCCAAGGAGTTACTGGCCTGTGCAGGCTTGTGGTCTACCTCCCTCATACCCTGACTCTGCACATGTTCCTTCCCCACAGGAAGAGAGCAGCTCCAATACCCCTGACCCCAGGGAGCACAGCCCACACATCTACAACTTCATGCTTGCATCAGCCACCCAGTTCCTGCTTCTTCTATTCTGCCATTTGCAGAAGTCTCTCCAGTTCCTGAAACCTTCCCAACCTACCTGATCCTGGGGCCCAGCTGGAATGAGAGTGTTTCTGCTGGAGTCTTCCCTGCAGACACTTATTTTCACCCCTCTGAACTCAGCTGTGCCATCACTGTGCAGTTTGTTAAACAGCTTGGGTGTTCTGGGCCCAACGAGTCTACTTTGAGACTCAGTATAATTTCTTTAAGATAATTTCAGCACTTCTCCAACAAGAGTATTACACTTCTGGGCTGGGGATGTGGCTCAAGCGGTAGCGCGCTCGCCTGGCATGTGTGCGGCTGGGGTTTGATCCTCACCACCACATACAAACAAAGATGTTGTGTCCGCTGAAAACTAAAAAAAAAAAAAATTAAAAAATTCTCTCTCTCTCTCTCAAAAGTATTACATTTCTAAGCTCACTGAAGAGGTCCTCATTGTATCATGCAGATGTGGTGATACAGTCAAGTGTTCTCAGATTTCGATTCTCCAGAAACCATGTTAGTGTTGGCTTCTGAAATAATAGTTTTGGCATGTAGCCTGGGGTTTTGCATTTCTAAAATATACACAGGTGAGATGTTTGTACCACTGATAACAAAGTCATTGTGTGAACCCCTCGTCTCAGGCTTTAGCACAAGCAGGCTTCATTAAGAAACACTGAGTGGGACCCTAATCCTTGTTTCTGAGTCTGGAATTCAGTTTTCCAGGAGACATGATGCTGATCCATTGGATTTCCGGCCACTTCTAAAATCTTGTGAGTACTCAGCAAAATAAATAAGTAATAAATATATATCTAATAATTAGAATTTTCTTAAGACTTCCACCTTGAAGCCACTCTGATGTTTGTTTTACTAATAAAATGATGATCTGATTGATACTCTAGCAACACTTGGTGGCCATAAGGAAGTGAGGACTATGTCTGGATAAGATAGTAATCTGGGATAAAAAGAAGTTCTACTGAGTCTCAAAGTAGAAGGCTCATTAACCACTAGAATTCAGGAAATGCCCATGGCCATTATTTGACATTAAAAACAAGCAATTCCTAAGCAATCCAGGATTCCTCCTATTCCACCATTCTTGCTCACAAAATACTAACATGACACCCAGACAATGAGCAACCTGAAATGTATGGTGTGAAATCACACAACTCTGCTCTGATTCCAGCTCTACATCATTCCTAACCTAGTGTGCATCTATAAATAACATCCCAGATGAATGGTTTTTTGTATCTCCCTTAGAGATGTCCCACATTTGTCCTTGAATATGGACCTGCTTTCCTAAATAAATCTTTCCATGTCTCTGATTGACAAGTGCTGAAATTCTGTTCTGCCATGCACACCATTGTCCCCACTTTTTCTAAGTTGATGTCTCTCTTTTCCTTTCTTCCTCCCTCCCTCCCTCCCTCTCCCTCTCAGGAATCTTCTCCCATTCCATTATATCATATAGTAAGATTCATATGTCAGCACTGGAATTTGGGACATTTTTATAGTTTGGGGGAGATAAGAAGCAACCGTGAAAATAATTTTTTTTTAAATAGGCAAGGGACCAGGTTTGGTGGTACATGCCTGTAAACTCAAGTATTTGGAGGCTGACTAAGAAGAATCTCAAGTTCAAGGCCAGACTCAACATTCTGCCTCAAAATTTAAAAATAAATAAATAAATAAAATAAACAGGATTGGTATTGTTGCTGGTTGGTCCAGGAATCTGGTGTTGTGTGTTGTAGCTCTTGAAGTCTTGAAGGAGAGTATTTCAAATGAGCCATAAAATGTAGTTGAAGTATAGCAAAGTTTATTAGGAAACAAACTTGTATCAAGAGGGAGCCGAGGGAAATGAGACATCTCTCTCACTTTCCCTTTGCCCCCAAGATTCCTGGGGCATTATGGGGATTTTCATATTCCTGCCTAACTTTTAACTGACAATAGGATTACATCAGAGTTTTAAATCCTTACTGCACATGGTTTTGCCCAAGCAAAATCCATTTGGGGAGGGAGATTTAACTATAATAAAAACTTGTATTATTAAAAGATTAAAATAATCTGCTAAAGATCTAAATGCAATGATTTGTCATCTTGGCCTGCACTGATGAGTTCTACTTGGAATTTTTTTTTTTTTTTTTTTTTTTTTACAGATTTTATGCTCAGTAGCCTTAGCTTTAAGTATCCCATTAACCTAAATCTTGAACTCTTTGGTCATTATGAAGGTCACAATGTCCTCTTTCAGGGTAAGATGTTCTTATTGATTGAGAGCAGTCTGTGGACATGCATTCCTTGGCTCTGAGAGACCAACTAGAAGACAACAGGTGCACCATGTAGAAATGTAGCATCATATTCTTTTAAGCCAGAGCAGGCCCAGAATACCTTAGGTGAATTGTATCTTTTTAAAAAAGCATGTCGTGGGGGTGCAGCATCTCATTCCACCATCTTTTCTGACCTCATTGTAGGTCCAGCCTATAGATTTTTCTTCTCAAATTCCCCTTTCTCTCACTCAGGTAAAAGAGTCCCACCAAGCTTTTCCTCTTGACTTCTGACTGACATCAGGATTGCATCAGACTTTCAAGTCCCCATGGAAAGGAGATTTTATTACTGTTGAACTAAACATCCAAGGTGATCCCAGGTCATTTTGACCCACATGGATTGGTTCTAGTTGGAACTTGTTACACATTTTGTTTTAGGGAGAATTACTCTATCTCCCTGAGTTCTGGAATCTGGTCTGTGAAAGTGTCACACTCCACCCCAGGTCACTTGTATTCGTACTGGCAGGGAGGAGCCTTGTGAGGCTGTGTTTCTTCCACAGATAACATGTTGTTTGCTGAGGAATGTAATATGTTTTATTTACTTAAGCTGGGCAGGGCTGTAGGTAATTACTCTTTTAAATTTTATTTATTTTTATTTGTTTGAATTAATTATACATGATAGAAGAATGCATTTCAATTTATTTATGCAAATGGAACACAGATTTTTATTACCCTGTTGTACATTATACAGAGTTGGGCCACATGTGCAGTCATACATGTACCTAGGGTAATGATTTGCATCTCATTCCACCATCTTTCCTGACCTCATGCTCCCTCCACTCCCCTCCTTCCCTTTGCCCAATCAAAGATCCTCCATTTACCCCAAGCCCCCCAATTATGGATCAGTATCCACTTATCAGAAAAAACCATCACAAAGAAATAAGTATCTGAAGTGTTGGATGTATCAATTACCCTAATCTGATCATTAAACATTGTATACAAGTATTGAAATGTCATATTCTACCCCAGAAATATATATAATTACCATGTATGAATTTTAAATAAATATTTTAAAAGTATAAATATTTAAGATGGTAGATATATCAGTTACCCAGATATGATCATTATGTATTATATGCATGTATGAAAATATCACTCTATACTCTTCAATTATGTATTATTATGTGCTGATTAAAAATATTTTTACGAAAAAAAAAACAAAACATTTAGCATTTGTTTTTTTGCGGGGGGGTTGGTTTACTTCACTTAGCATGATATTCTCCAACTCCATTTACCTGCAAATGCCACAATTTTATTCTCATTTAATGCTGAATGATATTCCATTGTGTATATATACCAATTTTTTTTTATCTCTTCATCTGTTGAGGGATATCTAGGTTGGTTCCATAGCTTTAGCTATTGTGAATTGAGCTACTATAAATATTGATGTGGCTGTGTCACTATAGTATGCTGATTTTAAGTCCTTTTGTATATAAGGAGTGGGATAGCTGGATCAAATGGTGGTTCCATTCTCAGTTTTCTGAGGAATCTGCATACTGCTTTCCTGAATGGTTGCACCATTTTACAGTCCACCTGTAATGTATGAATATACCTTTTTCTCCACATCCTTGCCAACATGTATTATTGTTTATATTTTTGATAATTGCCATTCTGACTGGAGTGAGATGAAATCTCAGAGTAATTTTGATTTGCATTTCTCTAATTACTAGAGAAGTTGAATATTTTTTTCATATATTTGTTGATCAATTGTATATCTTCTGAGAAGTCTCTATTAAGTTCCTTGACCCATTGATTGTTGGGGTTATATAGTTAGAGGGGGTAAATTTTTTAAGTTGTTCTCCCACTCTGTGGGCACTCTCTTTACATTATTTTTTCCTTTGCTAAGAAGAAGTTTTTAGTTTGAATTCATTGCATTTATTAATTCTTAATTTTTTTAATTTCTTGTGCTTTAAGAGTCTGGTTAAGGGGCTGGGGATGTGGCTCAAGCGGTAGCACGCTTGCCTGGCATGCGTGCGGCCTGGGTTCGATCCTCAGCACCACATACAAAGATGTTGTGTCCGCCGAAAACTAAAAAATAAATATTAAAAAAAAAAGAGTCTGGTTAAGGAAATCAGGACCTAATGTGACATGATGAACATTTGGGCCTATCTCACCCATATCCTGTTCAGGTGGTGGAATTGAGGTTCCTCTCTGTGGCGTAGGCTGGCTACAGAATAAAAGCTAAGAAAAAGAAGGTTAAAAAAATCACCCAGCACATGAGAAGTAATTGTAGAAAGTGGGGGTAGGACAGATTTCTGATCTTAAGAATCAAGCTTGTACACTTGAAAGAGAGAGAGAGATAGAGTCTGCATTTGCTTTATTTTTATGGGGGAAACATTAAAGATTTTCCATGGACTGTCCTTTGCCAAATAAGGTAGGGGGTGAGCTGTCCAGTTCCCAATAGGTTATGCCCAACTCTGGAGCTATGAGAGCTGTCCCGTTAGTAGAGTGGGAGTAGAGATATCTTGCTTTGGGCAGTCTGGTACACACAGGAATGCTGGGATTGTTCACACAGAGAGACCTAAGTCTCCCTTGGATCAGTGCTGAGTAAAAGACCTCTCAAGGGGTTGGGGATGTGGCTCAAGCAGTAGCGCGCTTGCCTGGCATGCGTGTGGCCCGGGTTCGATCCTCAACACCACATACAAACAAAGATGTTGTGTCTGCCGAAAACTAATATAAATAAATAAATATTTTTTTTTTTAAAAAAGACCACTCAAGTAGCTTCATGTGTGGCATCCCACAGGCCTAGTTTTTCATCTGTGAGGTGCAGGGCCTCTGGTCTAATTTATAGGTTCTTGATTCACTTTGAATTGAGTTTTTCACATGGTGAGAGATAATGTTTTAATTTCATTTTGCTGCATGTGGATTTCCAGTTTTCCTAGCACCAATTTTTGAAGAGGCTACCTTTTCACCAATGTATGTTTTTAAAACCTTTGCCTAGCATAAGATAACTGTATTTATATGGGTTTGTCTCTGTGTCTTCTATTCTGTACCATTGGTCTACATGTCTATCTTGGTGCCATTACCATGCCATTTTTGTTACCATAGTTCTGTAGTATAGTTTAAGGTTAGTATAGTAAAGATGTTCTATCTAGGAATTGCTTTGGCTATTCTGGGTCTTGTATTTCTCCAAATGAATTTCATGATTGCCTTTTCTATTTCTATGAGGAATGTTGTTGGGATTTTAATTGAAATTGGATTAAATCTGTATAATGCTTTTGGTAGTATGGATATTTTGACAATATTAATTCTTTCTGTCCAAGAACATGGGAGATCTTTCCATCTCTTAAGGTCTTATTCAATCTCTTTCTTTTTTAAAAAAAATATTTATTTTTTAGTTGTAGTTGGACACAATAACTTTATTTTATTTATTTATATGTTGTACTGAGGATCCAACCCAGGGCCTCACACATACTAGGAAAATGTTCTACCACTGAGCCACAACCCCATCCTTTTCAGTGTCTTTCTTTAGTGTTCATTAGTTTTTGTTGTTCATTAGTTTTTGTTGATTCCCAGGTATTTTATTTACTTATTTTTTGAGGCTATTTTGAATGAGGTAGTTTTCCTAATTTATCTTTCTGAGAGTTCATCATTGATGTTATAGAAATACATTTGATTTATGGGTGTTGATTTTATATCCTGCTACTTTGCTGAATTAATTTATTAGTTCTAGATGTTTTCTGGTGGAGCTTTTTGATCTTCTTAGTATAGAATCAGGTCATCTGCAAATAGTGATATTTTGAGTTCTTCTTTTTCTTTCATCTGTCTAATTACTCTGGGCAGAGTTTCAAGGACTATGTTGAATAGGAGTGGTGAAAGTGCATCTCTGACTTATTCCAGTTCATAGAGGGAATGCCTCCAGCTTTTTTTCTCCATCTAGAATAATATTGGTCTTGGGCTTAGCATGAATAGCTTTTACAATGTTGAGGTATGCTCCTACTATCCCTAATTTTTCTAATGTTCTGGGCATGAAAGGGTATTGTGTTTTATCAAATGCTTTTTCTGAATCTATTGAGTTGATCATATGATTTTTAAGTCTATTATTGTGATGAATTATGCTTATTGATTTCCATATGTTGAATCAACCTTGCATCCCTGGTATGAACCCCACATGATCATGGTGCACTATGTTTTAAATATGTTTTTGTATGTGATTTTCCAGAATTTTACTGAGAATTTTTGTGTCTATGTTCATCAGGGATATTGGAATGAAGTTTTCTTTCTTTGATGTGTCTTTGTCTAGTTTAGGTATCAGGGTGACACTAAGCCTCATAGAATGAGTTTGGAAGAGTTCCCTCCTTTTCTATTTCATGGAATAATCTGAGAAGTATTGGTATAAAATCTTCTTTGTAGGTCTTATAGAATTCGGCTGAGAATCCATTGGGTTCTGGGCTTTTCTTGGTTGGTAGGCAATTGATGGCTTTTTCTATTTATTGCTTGAAATATATCTGTTTAAATTGTGTATGTCTCCTGATTTAGTTTGGGCAGCTAGTAGTTCTCTAGAAATTTGTTAGTGTCTTTAATATTTTCTATTTTATTGAAGTATACATTTTCAAAATAGTTTTTATTTATCTTCTGTATTTCAGTAGTATCTCTCAAAGTATTTTATTTTTCATCACAGGTTTTAGTAATTCAAGTATTCTCTCTCCTTTTCATTAGAGTGGCTAAGGGTTTATTAATTTTATTTATTTTTTTTCAAAAATCCAGCTTTTTGTTTTGTCAATTTTTTTGAATTTGTTTTTTTGTTTCAAGTTCATTGATTTCTGGCCTGATTTTAATAATTTCCTGTCTTCTTCTACTTTTGGTGTTGATTTTTCTTTTTTTTCCTAGGGTTTTGAGATGTATTGTCAGGTCATTTATTTGTTGACATCTTATTCTTTTAAGGAATGAGCTCAATGCAATTAACTTTCCTCAGTACTGCCTTCATAATGTCCCAGAGATTTTGGTATTTTGTATTGGAATTCTTATTTACCTCTAAGAAATTTTTTTATCTTCTCCCTGATATCTTCTGCTGCCCAAGAATCATTCAGTAGCATATTATTTAGTCTTCATATGTTGGGATGTCTTCATATGTTGGAATATCTTCTATTCTTTATTTTATCATTGATTTCTAATTTCATTTTATTATGATCTGATAGAATGAAGGGTAGTATTTTTATTTTTGGTATTTTCTTAGAGTTTCTTTGTGACATAACTTATGGTCTCTTTTAGAGAAAAATCTATATGCTGCTGAGAAAAAAAGTACATTTGCTTGTTGATGCATGAAATATTCTATATATGTCTGTTAAGTCTAAATTATTGAGTGTTTTATTGAGTTCTATAGTTTATTTGTTTAGTTTTTGTTTGTAATATCTATCTGGTGGTGAAAGAGGTACATTAAAGTCACCCAGTATTATTGTGTAATGGTCTATTTGATTCTTGACATTGAGAAGGATTTCTTTGATGTATGTAGATGTTCCATTGTTTGGGGCATAAATATTTATGATTGCTATGTCTTCTTGATGTATGATTCCTTTAAGTAGTCTGAAATGTTCTTCTTTATCCCTTCTGACTAACTTTGGTTAAAGTCCACTTTATCTGATATGTGAATAGAAATTTCTGCTTGTATATACAGTCCAAGTGAGTGGTATGTTTTTCCCCATCATTTTACCTCCAGTCTGTTGATGTCTTTTCCAATGGGTCTCTTGAAGGCAGCATATTGTTGTTGTTGTTGTTGTTTTTTAAATCCAATCTTCCAGTCTATGACCTTTAATTGATGAGTTTAGGCCATTGATTTTTCAGAGTTATTATTGAAATATGGATTGTATTCTCAGTGGTTTTGGTTTTTTACTTGATTTGTTTCTCCTTTGATTGGGTTTTTCTTTAGTGTATTTCCTCCCTTTGCTGATTTTCATTATTTTTTTTTCATTTCCTCCTCAAGGAATATTTTGCCAAGAATTTTCTGTAGTACAGGCTTTCTCACTGTAAATTCTTTTAACTTTTGTTTAACATGGAAAGTTTTTATTTCATCATCAAATCTGAAGCTTAATTTTGGTGTATATTAGATTCTTTGTTGGCATCTGTCTTCTTTCAGAGCTTGGTATATGT